TAGATATATATCTATATAAGACACAAAGCATAAAGCAATATATATATATATATATATATATATGTATGTATGTATGTATGTATGTATGTATGTATAGTTGAAATATATATATAGTTAATTTTGAAATAAATGTGTGTGTGTGTTCAAAATTAACAGATTCACTAGGACAAATATAAAGCCACCAAGATTCCTTTGATTACAGCAACATAGAAATATGAAAAATAAATAAAGCTCCATTAAATGGGCACATTTAAATCAGTTACATGCAAAATCTGAATATTGTCATGCTATTGTCACCTTGGAAACTTTGCTTTAAACACTGTATTTTCCTTCGACTGGCAGAATAATTGCAAAATAAGATAAAGTTGCAATAGGAATAGGAAATAAGGTAAAATATGGCTAATCATATATTTATCAAATTTATAGATTGCCCATTTCACTCACAGAGCAAGTCTGGGCAGTGTACAATTAAAAAATATCTAGTCTTTCTTAAAAAAAGAAATAAATAACTTGGGCTATTTTATGCCATTTCAAATTGCTCTCAATTTGCTGCAAAATAACGTTGTGAAACTGATGAAATACATTCCAAATTGGTAAGCCATTCCTTTAATAAAGCACAAGTGAACATACAACCACAAATATAAATACTTCTTTGCATTTGGATCAGCTAGCTAGACATAAACATATAAAAATGTTTAGTGAGCTGAGTGATTCTACTAAGGTTTATAACTTATCTCCAGATCTGAAACAAATTACAGATTTCATATATGCAAGTAAATAGCAAAAATGCTTTGGTTTATTGCATATATCTAAACTTCAAAGGCAACCAAGGAAAGGAGGAAGAGAACAAGGAAAGCAAAAAATAAATAATTCATTTCTTATGGTAATATAACTGTAAATTGAGACTGATGAGGAAGGAGGTTGGAGACAGCTTTGAAGCCCAGTGATTTTCCGTGATAGTTGAAATGGAGAAAGCAAATTGCCTCACCTGAGTTAATACAAGAACTGTTGTGATTTCTGAGAGGCAAAGAGGGAAAGTATCAATGAATATATGAAATGTTCAGAACATTCTTAAGCCTACCTCTGAGGAAAAGAATGAAGACTGTGCATCTTTTACAGGTAATGCTAACTGGTCTGGGTCTGTGCCAGTATGCTTGCTCACAAGACCTAGAAAAAAGTATGGTTGGTACATTATCTATATGAGAACTAATTTACCCATGGAACATTTTCTAGTATCATCCTAGCATAACTTTTATTTCTGCTATTCAAAAAGGGCACAACAAATCAAGATAACTGCAGAATAGTACTTAAACAAAGGAAAAGGAAGGAATTAGATATATGGAGCATACTGTCAACACAGACTACTAATATGCTGATGCCAGTACCAATATAGAACCACAAAAGTTACAGAATGTCCCACGTATGCTAGCGATTTAACAGAAAACAATCATGCAATTAGAAACCAGGAAACATTTTGGAGTGAAAAGTCTAATATATAAATAGACATTCCATTAATGTGTCTTTACATATGATCATGCAAGCTTGACTTTACTTTTTTTTTTTTTTTAATTTGATTTATATGCCGCCCTTCTCCGGAGACTCAGGGCGGCTTACAGTGCGTTAAGCAATAGCCTTCATACTTTTGTATATTTATACAAAGTCAGCTTATTGCCCCCACAAACTGGGTCCTCATTTAACCTACCTTAGAAAGGATGGAAGGCTGAGTCAACCTTGAGCCTTGGAGAGATTCGAACCAGCAGTAAATTGCAGGCAGCTGTGTTAATAACAGGGTGCTTTAAACCACTGTAGTACCAAGGCTCTTAAAGTGTTAAATTCCTATAACAGTGATGGCAACCTTTTTGCTGTCGTATGCCAAAAGTGGGGGGAACACAAGGGGGTTGCGCGCATGCATACCTACACCCATAATTCAATGCGCCCTGCCCCCTGCGCATGCACACATAACACCACCACCACCCCCGTGCAACCCCCGCTTTTGGCACATGATAGCACAGTGGGCCCGGTAGGCTTGTTTTTCACACTCCCCAGGCTCCAGAGGCTTTCTTGGAGCCTGGGGAAGGCGAAAACTGCCTTCCCACCCCCCCGGAGGCCCTCCGGAGGTCAGGAAATGGCCCGTTTCCCGACTTCCGGTGGCCCAGAAGGCCCGAAAATCAGCTGGCCGGTGCACAAATGCCCGCTGGGGCTGAGCTAGGGCAATGCTCATGTGCCCACAGATATGGCTCCGCGTGCCACCTGTGGCACGTGTGCCATAGGTTCGCCATCACGGTCCTATAAAGTGTTATAGCCTCAGTTAAAATGCTGCCGATATCTATAGTATAATTTGATATTTGAAGTTTTCATACAAATAAAATGCCGGTTACTAAACTTCAGAAAATTAAGAACATTATTAAGTATACCCTCTGCAGTGTATCCAGAAGATATTATTCTTGATTTATGATGTACAGTTTTGTTTGCCAGCAGTACTGATGGTATATAAGCTGCATCATCATTAACCGATGATAAACATTCTTGACGACTGAGTGGAATCACTTCTCGAAGTTTTTTCACTGAAATGGTTAATTTTTTCCTAGCAGAGACATCAGATTTACTGCTAGCAGGTGCTGCCCGAACACCAAGGGATTTATTTTTCATGTGAATGCTGGTGGAATAAATGAGAAAATTACTGGCAGTGAGGCTGGCCAAAAAATCTTTGCCTGAACTAGTAGCGTCTTCCACTTCATTAAATAGTTCACATCATATCCATTGGGTCCTATTTCTGTTAAATAATCACAACATTAAATAGATGACACAGTGTTTTAAATATAACAAGGGAGGAAAAAGGAAGATTAGATTAGATTAGATTAACAGAGTTGGAAGGGACCTTGTAGGTCATCTAGTCCAACCCCCTGCCCAAGCAAGAGACCCTATACCATTTCTGACAAATGGCAGTCCAATCTCTTTTTGAAAGCCTCCAGTGATGAAGCTCCCACAACTTCTGACTGCAACCTGTTCCATTGGTTGATTGTTCCCACTATCAGAAAAGTTCTCCTTATTTCTAAGTTGAATCTCTCCTTGATCAGTTTCCATCCATTATTCCTTATCTGGCCTTTGGGTGCCTTGGAAATAGCTTGACCCTTCCTCTCTGTGGCAGCCCTTCAAATATTGGAACACTGCTATCATGTCTCCTCTGGTCCTTCTCTTCACTAGCCAAGCCAAGTACTTGCAATAGTTCTTCCTATGTTTCAGGTTCAACCAAAATGAACTCTGCTGCTCTATCAAAAGATAATCATCACCATGAACTATAGCAGAAAGACATATGCAGCATACCACTATTACAGAGTGCAAGAACAGTTCTGCTTAAATATACTCTGATTAAAGAAATCTGAAGCCACCCTAAAGAACATTCTACAGCCAACTTGCCCACAGACAAAACCTGGTTTTATGAAGCCCACCACCCCTGCATTCCTACATTCTAAAATAAAAAATAAAGTTAACATGGTTTCAATATTCATACACAGATGAAATAATAATAACTGTTTCTGGTTCGGAATATCTTCATTTTTTCCAAAGAGATTTACAAAAAGCAAGCATTGCCTACATATTCCCTTCCAAAATTCCTTGCAAACTCATAAGCTGCAGGAAGCAGTTCATTTCCTTAACATTAATATCTAAAGATACTATTTATGAATGCTGGGCTCTGAAACGATCTATAACAAAAAAAACACCCTAAAATAGCTAACCTCCATCTAAATTATTCTTTAGTACCATAGCAGATATAAGGGTCATATCAAAGCTTGAGGTAAATGAATAGATGCTTGTTCCTGACAAAAGCATCTATCCATTCACTTCAAGCTTTGCAGATTTATATCTGCTACCAAAGAATGATTTCCGTAGCTGCAAACTACAGCTCCCATGTTACATTATGACTACAGAGGCCTTTAAACCATGAACAGTGTCTGGTTTTCTTTGAAGTCTACGTCCAGCAGCTCTGAGCCAGTTTTGGTACAAAGAAGCTGAGAAAGAAAAATCTTCCCAATCTTCCGACTTTTAGCTATATTTGGGATGAACACTCTTTGAATAGTGTGGGAGTAGGAATGGATTTCCAGAGGGAAAATAAACTACTCGGGTGACCCTGAGGACACAGAATAAACCTCCAAGTGCTTCAACGACCCTCTAAAAGGATGCAAATGACCCGCTGTCTGCAAGGAATATCAATCCTTTCATTCCCCACTATCCTGTCAGAGCTGAAGAAGCTTCTTGGATGAGAAGCGAAACGTCTTCAAAGAAAAAAAAAGAAAGTCCAGTTGCCTCCTGAAAAAAGCACCTTTGGGACAACCATGACCTGGATGACTGAGAATCTAGTCTTCCCACTCTGTCTTCCATTACAACAGGGGTCTCCAATCTTGGCCACTTTAAGACTTGTGGACTTCAACTCCCAGAATTCCTCAGCCAGGCTTTGCTGGCTGAGGAATTCTGGGAGCTGAAGTCCACAAATCTTAAAGTGACCAAGATTGGAGACCCCTGCATTACAACATAGTAAACCGTGTACCAATACTTCCAGCTGTCCAAATTACATGAAGCAGTATGATTAAGACAAAGCTGGATATAAGACGGTGTGTTTTGCTTTTGTTCAGAAGAGAAGGAAACCATAACTAATCTATAAGCTACTGGGGAGCGGGGAAAAAAAAAAAGATCTTCCGAGCTTTACCTCGCCATAGCTTTCAATCTCCCCTCACCTTTCATCCCCATTGGGGACTCGACTTCCCTACGCTTTTCTTCCCGTAGATCAGTCTTTGTAAGATCGTCCGGCAATCAGCCATTAGAAACGCTGGTTGTTGTCATAGTCACAACAACCACTTACAGCTGCAGCTCCCGCCGCTTCCAAACTGACAAATGAAGTCCAACCTCTTCCTCCTATGGGGGAAAGAGTAAAGAATGCGCATGTGCAGCTGGAACTTCCGCTAAGGCGCCGAAGACACTGCGCATGCCTCGTTAAAATCCGCCTTTCTTCGCCTGTTCCCATTCGCGGTGCCCCCTTTTTCCCCCCCTCGCTTGCCCAGTTCAGTTATGGTAATTTTCCGGGTAGAAACAATTTTCTATACGAGTGGTTCCTCTACTCACATGCCCTATTTATAGAGCTATTCCGTTCTATATATCGCTTCCTGATTTGCCGCCTTGACTAAGCGAAAGTGAGAGCAAAACAGCCTTTGTAAAACAATAGGAACGCCTAAATGAGAGGAAGGGGACATTTTACAGTGTCGCGCGCGTTTGGTGGTTGCTACGGTAGGTAAACCCGCCTGACAGCTCCGCCGTCGCTGATTCGTGAGCACCGCCACGAGGTATGTAAGTGGAGGCGAACGAAAGGAAAGCACTCGTGTTGTGGGGAGTTGGTGTTTGTCGTAAGGAAAAGTGAGGAAGGAAGGAAGGAAACGAAGAATAAAAGTAAGCATTTGTAATGCATTCGGTAGGGTTGCATCTGTTAAAGATTGCAGTTGTTTCCCTTTCCTAAGTCTCCCTGGAGAAAGTCAGTGGGATAGTAAAGCTTCTTTTTTTTTTTGAATGAACACAAATCAGCGAGGGCAAGCTTCGTTTGCTTCCATTTCTGGACGTTGGACTGCAGTGATAAGAGAGAGATTTGAGGTTGGGCTTCTGAGTTTCTCAATATGTTCTGGCGCTGCAGCGCTTCTGGGGAAAGAGAAGATGTACAAGCTTTCATCATGACCTTGACAATCCATCAAGCTGTTTCCTAGGCATCAATGAGGGCTAGGGCTCATTCAAAACTCTAGACCCAGGAGACTGGAATAGAGAATTAGTATTATAAAGGCCATCAGCAATTGAATATTAAAAGTGTAATTTAAATATAGCATTAAAAAAGAGGCTGCCAGCCCTGGTTTTACAAAATCCTGTTGGATCCACCCAAATGTCTGTCTGTTCTGAAATCCTCTTTCTACAACGGGCAGATAAATGCCTGGGGAAAGCCAAAAATGATGGTATCTCATATTCCTTAAGAATGTACTGGCTCTGATGTTGAATATAATTATAGGTTGTTGTGATTTTCACAGCCTTACTCTCCTTGGATTTATTTAATTCCCCTTTACAGTTACTTAAACATGACAAAATTGTACACAAAATGTGCACCTAATTTGATATGCATAGCTGTATACATTTATGTCCTGTATGAAGAATGGAGAAGAAATGTTTACTTAGCTTTTCCCTCTTATCTTCAGAGCTGCCATCCATGATATCAATCCAAGCTCAGGAGTTATATAGGATTTTTTCTTACTAATTTTTGTTTTAGGGATAATAAAGTACATGCTGTTCCCAGACTAATGTAGGGAACTGTTGCCTCTCAGAAAATTGGCAGAAGTGTTTCCCAGAGGAAAGATATCCTAATTGCATGATAACCTCTTATATTGAAGACAAGCAAGGTTGAGTATTTGCTGAGATTCAAAACAACTGAAACAGTCCATTTCAATGCCATTACCATCCTCACCTTATGGCGGGCCTCTGAAAGAGCTGGAAGAAATGATCAAAAGCTTATATGACTCTGTTTGAGAATATATGGATTGACTGAATATATTGTAATGCACAAATAATGTATCCTATTGGAAGAATAGAGAAAATCATGTCAGGTTCAATACTTAAAAGCTCTTATCAGGAAACATCTATTAAATAAACAAATAGAGATTTAAAGGGTTATCTCTAGATTGCAATGTGTATTTTATTTCAAAGGCAAAATCCACAAGAGCATTTTGTCACATGTTATGAAGACACTTCAATTTGTATAACTTGAACTTGTGTGATTAAAATACTGGAGACCCAATGTATGCATTACGTAGAAATCCAAATTGAAATGTCTCTTAGAAATGTCTGGCTAGCTTCTGCTGGAATATAAATATACCCAGTGATAAAGGACCATCACATGTCTGGATAATTGGTTCCACCAAATAGATTATGTTATTGCAAGAAAATGTATATTAAATACTGCTGGTTAAAAAATGACTGAAGAATTCATCAAGTCTTTCTTTGAGAATTCTGTTTCACAGAGCATCATTAGAATGACCAGTGGGCCTTCTTATTCTTTCCATGCTCTTCCTCCTTAAAAACAGTAAAGATGTAAACAGCAAAGTATTGAATTGAAAAATGTTTTGGAATAAAAATTGACTTAGATATCTTGCTTTCTGCATAGGTGGCAGTTGCCTCAGAATTAAAATATGGCTGGACAAATATCAGAATCAGATCAGATCAAGCAGGTAAGTACGGTTATCATTTTTGAATGTTTGTGTTTGGGTGCTTTTGAATGTTTGTATTACCACATAATTTGACCCTTGAATAGCCTTCCCTAGAAAAAAAGCTAAGGTTAATATCTGTATCAAATGCATTTATCAATTCAAATCAAGTACATATTTGATACTACCCAAGTGCCCTTCTTTTTGTGGATGTTACTTGCTCTCAATCTGTCCTTCGTATATATTTCCTGTGAAGAACAGGCACAGCCAAGTCTGAATATCTATTTATTTATTCACAGTTTAAGGAATTTCTTGGAACATACAACAAACTAACAGAAACCTGCTTCCTAGATTGTGTGAAAGATTTCACTAGCCGAGAAGTGAAGCCAGAAGAAGTATGTGACTTATTTTATTTGTTTTGAATTGTAACCGATAAAAAGTTAATGCCAGCTGGAAAGTTGCAGTATGATGAGGGAACGATAAATGAATTAGTGCTAAAACATCAACAATAATCAGACTTTAACTAGAACAGCAAATGTAAAAAGATCCTTCTTTGATCAAATTGATATTTACCCTAATCCAGAATCCAGTTACTAATTCAATTCCAATTTTGCAATTCAGGCAAGGTATTTCTGGGAAATGATGGTTTTGCCAGCTAATTTAAAATTTGCAGGTCATATATTAGCGTATATACAAAACATATACGTAGAACACTAGTGTCTCTTCACTAGTGTCTACTTGGATTTTGGCAGGGAGGATTTTCAACTCCTAAGCAGAGAGAAAGCACAGTCAGGAAAGGAGCAAAGAGTGCCTGAGGGGGAGGCCCAGTATAGTGTGTACATAAGTATCTCTCTCACTCAGGCTGAAATCCTGCTTGGATTTTGGCAGGGAGAATTTCAGCTTCTGAGTGGAGACTCACAGGGTCTTCCTCCGCCCCCCAAGGCACTATGCATTCCTTGCCTGGGACTTCTTGTGCAAGCACTTTTATTTAATTGTAACCCACCTTTACTATTTTTACAAATAACTCAAGGTGGTGAACATATCCAACATACCTTTCTCCTCCTATTATCCCCACAACAACACCCCTGTGAGGTGAATGGGGCTGAGAGAAAGTGACTGGCCCAAGATCACCCAACTGGCTTTTGTGGCTAAAGCAGGACTAGAACTCACGGTCTCCTGCTTTCTTTCTAGCCTGGTACCTTAATCACTGGATAAACTGGCTTTCTCTTAATGAACATAACCAAGAGTGCTGGGAATGCAGTCACAGGATGTCTCATTTAACAAGAGCTTTGTTCCTTGCTTGAGATTCTGGTCCTAAATTGTGGTTGTTAAGCGAGGACTACCTCTAATAGAGTTAGAATGGGAAGTTTGTTGTTTCACAAGTTGCAAGAGTAGATAACACTTCACTTGTCTAAGCAGCCTCTTCTAGATATTAATTAAAAAGTTGGGTCAAACTGAGGACAAATGACATGCCAATGAATATAGTTATTCTATTTAGTTGTCAATAGATTAAATCTAATGTACAAGTAGATTGCTATTTTTGTAAGATTGCTATTTTTTCTTGTCCTCTGTATTTTCTTGTATCTCCCACCTCCCTTTCCAAATTACTACAATTTAACATAGTGAGCTCTATCTAAGGGGGATCAGCAAGTTAGAAATCTTGCACTAATAGTGCAATTTTTTTGCCTCTTAATTTGCATTCTACTTCTGTTACAATAAATTGAATTCCTTGTTAATAGCCAGTGACATAGATTATTCCCCCAGGAATTTTTAAGTTCTTTTGTTATAATCATACAAGCTAGCAGCTGTCATTATATACAGCAGTAGGCAGTCTCTACCTAGAATCCAAGAAAACAATTATTTTTAAGTACTGGAATTGTTTTTCCTCATGCCAACAAAAAAATAATAATCCAATCTGGTAGAGATAGACACAGTGACCTGTCCAAACCTCCCATTTATTTTGGTATTGGAATAGATTTTAAAGAAAAATGATATATGCAATTACTTTATATTGTTAGATAAAAGCTAAAAGTTCAAAATTCTTTATAGTAGTATATCTGATCATTTGTCACTAGAAATGAAGGAAAAGTATGTTAAAAAGCAGCACTAGACACCAGTATCTTAGTGTCTTAAAATTAAGAGATACTAATGCCTCAATTTTCATAATTCGTTTGGAAAACACTGACAGGGTTAAATTATTATTATAGCAAGCTCAAAAGGGAAGGGTTGATCAAGTTCTGGGTACTTGCCTCTGCTTATATCTAACGTTTTATGAAGTTTTTAATGTTGTTTCTATAGATATTTAAATGTAGTATCAGGTGCCCTGGGATGAGTTTATGAAAAGTAGTGCATGTATATATGTGTGTAAAAAAGAGCATTTTAAAATACTTTGCATATTAAAAAAAATGAATGACAAGTAGGTTCCTCCTGTTTTTTCCTTATACAGATAACTTGTTCAGAACACTGTTTACAGAAGTATTTAAAAATGACCCAGAGGATATCTATGAGATTTCAGGAGTATCATATTCAGCAGAACGAAGCATTGGCTGCCAAAGCAGGACTTCTCAGCCAGCCCCGCTAGAAAACAGCAGATTGTCCCACATGAAGGAGTGCCAGCATTGCCTACACTACATGTGAAAATGCCTGGTGTCTAGTGCTATTCTAACAAGACCTACCACCAGCTCAAAATGGGATTGTTTAAAGAATGATTCAGTTGTCTCGAAATATCTGGTCTACAGTTGGGATTGAACAGCCATGGAGTTTATGGAGCTTTTTTTCAAGATTATCTTTTACTGTAATGCAGGAATAATGTTGATTCCATCTTTTCTGGAAAGATGGGTTGGTTCTACGTGTTAATCAGTTACAGATAAAGAACGAAAACACATTTTATTTTTTATTGTTTCTAATATAGTGATTATTCATTTTAAAAGAAAAATGTGTTGTCCAAAATTATATGTAAAAGTGTCTAAAACAAGCTTTATTTTTTATTTAATCAAAGTAAAAGAGGTAAGAATTACTGTTGCTTTTGAGAAGTTTTTTGGAATTATCAACAGTCATTAAGTACTCTCTTAAGAAAAGCCTTGTGCAACGCTGCATTCTCACTCATCTCCAGCATTCTGCTGGCTCACAGCTGTCTCAAATCGCTAGTAAATGGAGAGAAATAGAGTAATGATGCACTTAGATATCGAACTTTTTGATTTTCTAAAAACGATATTCTAAGAAGATATTTATATTCTTAGATAACAAATTTTACCTCCTACTTTCCCTGGATGATTGCAGGTCTTATTTTTCCTCTGAATACAACATTCTAACTTACTTAAAGAGACTACTTTCAATGGTCTAGGGCAGGGGTGTCAAATTCACATTGTCACAGCAGCGTCACGTGACGTATCAGAACTTTTGTCCCCTTTGCTAAACTGGGTGTGGGCATGGCCAGCACGTGACACATCCGGCCCACAGCCCAGAAGTTTGACAGCCCTGGTCTAGGGAATAATTTAGAGGCATATGAAGTTCAAGAATAAAAAAGTTAACAATTATGGACCAACTTAGCAACTTGAATGCTAGATCATTGGAAATAATATAGTTTAGTTGGTATAATATGCTATCCACCAGGTTAACAAATGTCATTCTTGCATTCACATACTATAATTAAGTAAATAAATTGATCTGTCATTTAATGGGATGCACTGGTTCATACAGCATAAAATAGTAGCTCAGTCTTCACTCTAAATGCACAGTTCCATTTTTTGTTTAGCCTAGCTTGTTGTGTGAGCCTGATGATTGTGAGAGGGGAGTATTAATTTAAGTGAAATTAAATTTATTGCTATCTTTTAAAAGCATTAGAAAAGTTTAATCCATCTTTTGCCCAGAAAAATGAAGCAGCATTGAAATCTTGCTACTCTGCAAAAAATAGGCCTGAAAGAATTTCCTTTTTCCAGGAAAAAACCCCAAGTCCTTATACTGTTGCATAGAAATACCTTCTTGTTGATTTTTCTTTTTTGAAAAGCTTAGCTGCTACCGGTAGTTGTGTGTTTGATTTTGGAATTAATGAATTCTAAATTTTGCAGGTTACGTTAGGTCCTTTTATGAGCCATGAATAAAAAATGCTGTTCTACTTTTGCACAGCAGAGGTTTTGAAAATGATTCTACTGAATTCGTTAATGTTTAAAAAGTTTAAAATTTACCTACTTGAATAGTATATGGGATACTGTGCACAAGCATTTCAAATACTTGCGGAGGTAGAGTTTGCTCCAAGACTTGCATTAGCTGGTTTGGCTGTGCGCACACAGAAATGGCATTGATGAGGTGCTCAACACTCTTCTTCTGCTCTCCTGTAATTAATTCATATTCCTAAAATTCAATCCATCATTCTTAAAACCAGTTCAATCATTTATATTATATGCATCTACAATTTGCATTCAGTATCTAACCCTAAACATTGATTTAAACTTCTGCTGTCTACATGCTGATAAAATTTTACTAACTGCTACAGCAAGTGAAGCAAAGGTGAGTAAAATGACCAGCAACTACATCCCCTCTGCCTGCAGCCTTTACCTTAAAAGTAAGTAGCCAAAAGAAAAACTCCCTGCAAGTGTATAAAACTCTCTGTATAAAAATTTCAGATGACAAGCTTACTAAGAGTTTCCAAAATAATAAACACCGACATGCCCGTCATAGATTTTTTTTCATAGAACGTGTATAAATTCCTGACCCATATGATTTACTTTAAAAAATGATGTTGTAGAACACCAGTGGAACTGTTAACTAGGCAGAAGAGGCATAAAACTATATCTCTTTATTGTTCACCGTATTTAAAAATTCTAGGGCATTTTTTTTGCCTTGTGAATTATTTCTATAATTATAGGACTGGATTGTAAAATATGCCAAATAAAACAACCTAGGTTATTCTGTAATTCAGCAATTGTCCTGATGCCAAGTCTTTTATATCTCAAGTATTTTCTGTTTATAATTACTATAAAATAAGGTACATTCAAATTTATATGAACAGACATATCATTTGGAATCATGTTAGTCCCATGAGTGAAGTCAGAGCTGTAACCTATAATGTAAGCCACTTTCAAAGGAAAACAGTGACAGTCAGGGTTGTGACATGGCAATTCTGTGGTTAGCTAAAGCTGAGATAAGCTCTCTAATTCTTATTGTGCTTTCAAGTCACTGTTGATACCTGGCAAATGCCTGACTAAGTCTCTAATTTCCTTCACAACATTTTTGGAAGTGGATTGCCATTGCCTGCTTCTTAGGGCTGAGAGAGTGACTGGCCCAAAGTCATCCAGCTGCCTTTGTGCCTAAAGTAGGACTAGAATTTAGTTTCTCGTCTGTTCCCTTAACCACTACATCTAATTGGCTCCAAATGTTGCTGGACATATTTTCAACAGGACCAGGAAACATATCCAATGCTGAGTGTCAGTGGGAAACAGTTTAATAAAAGATCTCAGATTTCCATGCCTAAACTAGCTTCCACATTTTGTTTTTATCGTCCAGTATTGTGGAGGAACATCAAGTGAAACAATACCACCTTTATTCATCACTTTAATTTTCAGAAGCAGAAACATTTGATTCAGTTCCTTATATGTTCCCAATCCATGCTTCATTAAAATGGGTACTTTTACTACTTTCAAAGTTAAATATTTATATTTCTCTCAACTTTACCTTTTGTCAACCAAAGTTCCCCTAACTGTATCTCCTGCAGAAAGAACTCTTGTACTTCTTCAGATTCTTTTAGCTTGTGTAACTAAGGGTTTTTGGTTTTTTTTTTAAAAAAAGAAATGGAAATAAGTGAATTAATCTGAGTTAATGACAGTTTTTTTAAAAAAATTGTAATTAAGTTTCCAGTTGTGGAAATAGATCTTGTGAAGGCTTTACAATTACAATTTATGAAGATGCTCATTGGTTTCAGAAAAGCATCAGCTTCTATGAATATTTAATGACTACAGCTAGTCCTCGACGTACAATCATTCATTTAGTGACTGAAGCTACAACGGCACTGAAAAGTGACATGACCATTTGCTGCAGTATCTTCGTGGTCACGTGATTAAAAGTCAGCTACTTGGCAACTAGCATGTATTTATGACAGTTGCAAAGTCCTGACATCATGTGATCATCTTTTGCGACCTTCTAGCTTCCCCATTGCAAAGACAATGGGGAAGCCAAATTCATTTAACAAACATTTTAGCAATTTAACAACTGCTGTGATTCATTTAATTAAGACAAAATATGATGTAAAATGGAGCAAATTTCACTTAACAACTCTCTTGCTTAGTAACAGAAATTTTGGGCTCAACTGTGGTCGTAAGTCATGGACTACCTGTACTGGCATTTAAAAGGCATTTTATTATTGTTATATTATTTTTCAATTACTGTATTAGTATTTTTACATTTAACAGTATAAATACTTAAAACTGGAAGATCTATACAGTCAAACATGTTCATGTAGTTCCATTACTGGACACATTTGGGATGTATCACAGATACGGAAGTGAATACATACAGTATCCTTTCCCAGTTTCTCTTATTTATACCTTTCAGTTCAGTGCCCCCCCCCATTCCAACATTAAAACTGAATGCTAAGAACTATAAAATGTTACAATTCTAAAAAGCCTCAGTACAAATCGATGTTAAGTCCTCTTCTAAACCAAACAGAGGAGGGCAGCCTCAACATTTACCCTACAATATAGAATCTGATATAGAAATATGGAAAAAGAATTTTATCATAAAGATACCTCTGGCAGGATCTGCAGAAGGGAACCCATTGAGGATCTAATAGGATGAGGTGACTTGAGCATGAATAAATACCTCCTGAAAGTAATTTGGTCTGAAGACATGATTGGGTTCAAAAACAACTGGCAAACTAAAGCAGTTGGTTTAACATAGGCATGATATGGCAACTCCTAAAAATGCTACTTGCCAGCTAGGTAACTTTATTAATATTTACTAATTCAGGGCCAGCTGCAATTTCTGAACTGCACCCTCATCAGCATGCCAGGTGTGAAGGATTTGGGGACCTGTAATTCTTCAATATCTGGATAATTTTCCTGTCTGGATTGAGAGATTAAGGCAGAACTGATATTAATTTTGAATAGGGGGAATCACAGCTAATCTGATATTAGACTAGAATAACAGAGTTGGAAGGGACCTTGGAGTCTTCAAGTCCAATCCCCTGCTTAGGCAGGAAACCATTTCAGACAAATTGTTATCCAATCTCTTCTTAGAAACTTCCAGTGTTGAAGCATTTACAACTTCTGGAGGGAAGTTGTTCCAGTTCTGTCAGGAAATTTCTCCTTAGTTCTAGGTTGCTACATACAATTAAAGAATATTCATTAATTGCATGTAATATCTGTCTGTCTGTCTATCTCACTTCTGTACCGCCCATCCTTGATAAATTAACTTAGGATCATGTTTATCATTTCTTGTTTTGCCTATGGTTTAAATAATGTAGACTATATTTAAATTACCTCCAAGCTATGCCAATATTCTTAAAGGGCTAATGAAATTCTATGAAATAAACTCAGAACACATATATTTAAAAATGTTTATAGCTAACAATTCTGGACTTCTCACATTTTTAAAATACTACTCCAATTTAAAAATGACTATATTAAATCCAATTCTCCCCATCAACTACATTAAAATCAGGAAAGAATGTTAAAAGTAAAATTTTTGCACAAATTCAATAATGGACGTTTAGGCCTCAAAATCAGCTCTGTTCCAGCTGTCACTTGGCCTCTACTTAGAAGGTTCTTCATCTATTGCTGCCTTTTTGAATTAGAATAGAAATAAGACTTGGGTTCTGACATTTAATTATGGCTACTATTACAATATTCATGTGGAGCTTAAATATATAGTCTTTGTATTTTAAAACTAGGCTATCCAAGAAATCTGCAGGATTTCCAAATATTATTTTTCACCTCTGCTTCGTGTTCTTTTGCTTTTTTCTGTTCTTTTCTTCTTTCTGTAAGAGTAATATGAAATATTTAGTAACTACTTTTAATAGCTTAGAGCTATGAGAATATTTAAATAAATTAAAATCTTGGTTTCTTTCCAAACTACTATTTTACAAAGTTTACATATTTACAGGTGAAACTCGAAAAATTAGAATATCGTGCAAAAGTTCATTTATTTCAGTAATGCAACTTAAAAGATGAAACTAATATATGAGATAGACTCATTACATGCAAAGCGAGATAGTTCAAGACTTGATTTGTCATAATTTTGACGATTATGGCTTACAGCTCATGAAAACCCCAAATTCACAATCTCAGAAAATTAGAATATTACATGAAATCAATAAAACAAGGATTGTACATAGAACAATATCGGACTTCTGAAAAGTATAAGCATGCATGTGTACTCAGTACTTGGTTTGGGCCCCTTTTGCATCAATTACTGCCTCAATGCGGCGTGGCATGGATGCTATCAGCCTGTGACACTGCCGAGGTGTTATGGAAGACCAGGATGCTTCAATAGCGGCCTTCAACTCTTCTGCATTGTTCGGTCTCATGTCTCTCATCTTTCTCTTGGCAATGCCCCATAGATTCTCTATGGGGTTCAGGTCAGGCGAGTTTGCTGGCCAATCAAGCACAGTAATCCCATGGTCATTGAACTAGGTTTTGGTACTTTTGGCAGTGTGGGCAGGTGCCAAGTCCTGCTGGAAAATGAAGTCAGCATCACCATAAAACTTGTCTCCAGAAGGAAGCATGAAGTGCTCCAAAATCTCCTGGTAGACAGCTGTGTTGACACTTAATGAAGCACAATGGACCAACACCAGCAGATGACATGGCTCCCCAAATCAACACAGACTGTGGAAACTTCACACTGGACTTCAAGCATCTTGCAGTGTGTGCCTCTCCATTCTTCCTCCAGACTCTGGGTCCTTGGTTTCCAAATGAGATGCAAAAGTTGCTCTCATCAGCAAAGAGGACTTTGGACCACTGAGCAACAGACCAGTTCATTTTTTCTTTAGCCCAGGTAAGACACTTCTGACGTTGTTTGTTGTTCAGGAGCGGCTTGACAAGAGGAATACGACATTTGAAGCCCATGTCCAGGATCCGTCTGTGTGTGGTGGCTCTTGATGCACTGACTCCAGCCTCAGTCCACTCCTTGTGAAAGTCCCCAGCACTTTTGAATGGCCTTTTCTTGACAATCCTCTCCAGGCTGCAGTCATCCCTGCTGCTTGTGCACCTTTTTCTACCAAACTTTTCCCTTCCACATAACTTTCTATTAATGTGCTTTGATACAGCACTTTGGGAACATCCAACTTCTTTTGCAATTACCTTTTGAGGCTTTCCCTCCTTATGGAGGGTGTCAATGATGGTTTTCTGCACAACTGTCAGGTCAGCAGTCTTTCCCATGATTGTGATTCCTACTGAACCAGACTGAGAGACCATTTAAAGGCTCAGGAACCCTTTGCAGGTGTTATGGCTTAATTAGCTGATTAGAGTGGGACACTTTGAGCCTAGAATATTGAACCTTTTCACAATATTCTAATTTTCTGAGATTGTGAATTTGGGGTTTTCATGAGCTGTAAGCCATAATCATCAAAATTATAAGGCTTGAACTATCCCGCTTTGCATGTAATGAGTCTATCTCATATATTAGTTTCAACTTTTTAAGTTGCATTATTGAAATAAATGAACTTTTGCACGATATTCTAATTTTTTGAGTTTCACCTGTAGATTTTCAGCTTTTTTTCTTCTAGATAAATATATTTCCTAATATATTTTTATATTTATAATACCGAAATAGCATTGATCATAATACTATTCCATTAGATTCACTTTCTATCACCAAACAGATTTTCTCTGGCCACTGAAAATAGGATGAAATGGAAAATTAATAAATTAATAGGCAGAGGATCTAAGGGTGTAAGGAAAAACTGTGAATGCTATATAGGTCACCTTGAGCTTCTGGAGGAAAGGAGCATATAAATCACATACATCTATACCTAAAAGAGTATGAGGGTTTATCCTAAGCATCTGTAAATTGGTCTAATTGGGCTGTTTTGTGAACTTGTCCATTGTGAGTGTGACGATAATAATGGGCTATATGAGTAATGGGCCAAGGACTCAATTATCGCTTTATATCTCAACAGAAGGAAGACATCCTTGTTTTCCAGCAGCATGTCTGTTATTTTTTATACAGTGTATAACCAGGATAGGGGCTGCTATGGATCACTGCCATATGGGAAAGACAAAGGAAGAAGAGAGACTTCAGAACTGAAGAAGCTTCTTGTATGAGAAGCGAAACGTCTTCAAGGAAAAAGAAGAACCTCCACTTGCCTGTTGAAAAAGCACCTTTGGGACAGCCATGACCTGGATGACTGAGAGTCTCCATTGACAAAAAGAGTTGAGTTTATAGCCCTAATTACACCTTTTTTTCAGTCACCCATTGGAGGGGCTCGACCGCAGTTCAGCTCCCCACCCTCCACCCCCCCAAATCTCTCTCTCCCCTTCCAGAAGCGTGGAAGCTGCCTCCACTGTCTCTAGCCTGCACCGCCCTCCAAATCATCAGCCCTGCCGCGCACCGGGCTGGGGGAATTACGGCCAGGCTGATAGGAAGCGTGGGGCCCGCTTAAAAGGGCCTGCGAAAGGGCGCGGCTCCCCTGTCCCTTTTTCGGACAACCCGGGTGTCTTTCTCCCCGCCCCGCCATTCCTAGCAAGGGCATCCCCGGCCACGCCTTCTTCCTAAGGCGGGGAAAAGACCGCAGGGGCGGCCGCTCTCCCTCCCGCGCGACTTACTTTCTCTCAGCCTCTGTTTGAAATCTGCGGCGTTTCGCCGCTTTCGGTCGAAGTAGATGCAATAGCCGAGCAAAGCCAGGCCACAGGCGCCCGCCAGCAGCCACAGCAGGGCGCTCCGCGACCAGCATGCCATGGCGGGGCAGCCGCCTCCTTCTCCTCCTCCTCCTCTTCTCCCGACCGCCGGAGCAGTCGGAGGGAGGGAGGCTTCGGCGACGCTTCTAAATGCAGAACTGCCTAGCCTGGCTTTCCCTCCCTCCACGAAGCAGCCATTGGGCTGTGATCACTGGAGGGCTTGGTTAGAAGAAATATAGCAATAAATAGGATCTCTCTCATGCACGCACACACACACACACACACACACACATACACGCTTATGTTAGGTTGCCAAACAGTTAGCCCGACCCGTTTTCTCCCTCGATTTCTCTTAGCAACAATCCTTAGCTTGTCCAAAGGCATTTTAGGATCTTATTCTTGTGGCTGCCGTCTCCCTTTCTCGGCGTCTTTCTCTTCTTTCCTGAATTCTGTCAAGCCTAGGCAATTTTTTTTAAAGAAAAGGTTATCAGCCACTCACAAAATATGTTTGTTTCTACCGCTTGATCAGAGTCTTAAGGGAATAATCAGCTTTTAATTGATCCTGTACTCATTCACTGATTTTTTTTTTCAGGGTGGAGTTTGTAAACATGTTTCATCTCGCTTAATTTAAAGATTGAGGGTCAGAAGTGGTACAAAGGCCACTCTTGGCAGAAAAAGGGCAGCAAGCAATAATAGGAAATTTATTAAATAACCTTACTGTATTGAAATCAGGACTGATCTAAATGGATTCTATGTACCTACTTAACAAATTTTCGATTTGTGTGTTTACAGCCTAAGTCTTTGTTGTTTCATACATCAGGAATGTGAGCAATTCAGTTATCACCGCATGGAATTCTTTAAAAAAGCCCCTGAAAGAAGAGCTACCTAACTGAAGTAAATCTAGATACTTGTTCTTTTATCATGCTGGTGAAATTTTATTGTAGTAGCTGATTTAACAAAAACAAGCTTCTTCACATATAAACAGAATTAGGAAAATATAATATCATATTAAAAAATGGTGATAGAGCAGCTAGAAATTTTATAAACAAAACTGAATATCAGATTGCTCAACATTCTCTTAAACATTCTCATTTAAAAAAAAACCTAATTCAAATATTAACTGCCTCTACTTGCTAACAGCCCATTGTTGCAAGGCAGGTCATTTTTTTATCACTTTTGCATGCAAGTTCATAACTAGATGTTGATAGCTAACAGATACTTGAATATAGCAAAAGATAATGTGTCTTATTTTAAAATGATAAACTAAAATCATGTGAAATAATTCCCTGAATTTAATTATCAACAGGAAGGTAAATAGAACTTTAGACATTTTAGGGGTTATTATGTATTTAAAACCTTAAGAGCTTATTCACGCTCTAAAAAGGCTGCACAGGGGAAACATGAATTCACAAAACAACTGCCAAGATTGGTGTGCCAGTCTGTTCCATTCATTCATACATCAGTAAATTGGTGGCATGCCTTCTAGCCGAGATGGATCTTCTGGGCTACAATTTTACAGAATGTTATGGCAAGTGCTTGTCTGTTTGAATTTATTATTATTTAATTTGTATACTGCTCAATTTCCATTGATATTGGGCAGCTCAGAAGAAATTATTGCTTAACGCATTGTAAGCTGCCCTGAGTCTCCGGAGAAGGGCGGCATATAAATCAAATTAAAAAAAAAAATTACCATAAAAAAAAAGACAAGTGCAACAGTGCAGGTGTCCAAGGCCTATGTGAGGAGTCAGTTTTTCACTGTTTTCTAAGCAGAAATAGATACTCTGGATCTTAGGAGTAATCTCAGGAGTAATCTCATTCCAGAAGGCAGGAGCTGTTACAGAAAAGGCACGTATCTAGAATCCCAATAGATGACTTTGCTTAATTGAAGGAACTCAGATTGCTAACCTTGGAAGAATAGATGCTATGGAAGACAGGAATGGACAGCATAGGAATGTTTATTTTTTGCTTTACTATCCATTTCAAGTAGTAACTAATTAAACTATTTACACTTTTGCCTTAGAGCAGCTGAGTTTTCAGAATCGGGATCAATTTTTTCTCTCACCTTTCAAAATTGACTTCTGTTAAGTCAATTTAAACCTTAAAAATTCTTAAAAATTTGCCCATGGTTGCTCACGTTTGTGGGTAACAATAATGATCTAATTTAGTTATTCTATTAGGCTTTATTTAGAAAATCTAATTCTTAATTGTTCATTATAACAGGCCCCTTTTTCCATAAAGGAAATACATTCTGACAATTTTGCCTATTAATGCAGTTGCAGTTTAAGGAAGGCAAGCTATATCCTCTTAAGCCTTCTAACCCATTACAGTATTAGTAAAAATTGAAAGCTGTTATCTCTACATATTGAGATGGGAAATAGATACAAAGTGTAACATAGTTTTTAAATTAAGGAAACCAATGTTGCAGAAAAGCCCAAACACCAGTCCTGCTCAATTATGATGAAGTGCTACCAATTTTATAGCCCTCGACACCCTCAAAAATTTTGTACTGGAGGCCCTGACCACTGAAAATTGCCCTCCTCATTCCAGTATATAATTTTGATAGAATAACTATCCTAAAATGTTACCACTTTGATACAGTAATTAAGTTTTATATATATTGATTTGTAGTTGTTTGGTGCACATGTTAAAAAAATAGATCTTGTGCCATGTTACTTATTTGAAGGTATGAATAGGCAAGTATGAAAGTACATGTGACCTATTCAGAATACTGTGTGCCATAAAAAGCAGAAGGGTTTATTTCTGGAAGATTTCCAATTTTGCAGCAAATAAAAAGAATGAGATATCTAAAGTGATAAAACAAGAGATGGTTTTCAAACATAATGTTATAATATAAATGAACTAGAAAAAGCTGTATCATTCATGTGAGAAAAGTATCAAGTGGCTCGGAAAAAAAGCTAACCTTAGGACTGGCATGTCAGTAGTGGGTGGGAACTGCAATACTTCAAACCCACCACAGAGTAACATGATAGAGCTAAGTGCCTCATTTTTTCTGAAACTAGCCTGGCTAACTAAATTTTGAATTAGATATGAATGGGTGATTGTGAGCAAGAATGAGTACTGGTAAATGAATAGAAGTGGTAATTCTATATTTGTTTCTACTTGCTCTGAGTCTTGATTATAAATAATGGTGGTAGAAGTGTTACAAATATGGGTAGTCCTTGATTTACCACTAGAATTGAGACCAGCCAAGCAAAAGTGAGTTGTGCCTGATTTTAGCACTTTTTCTTTCCTGTGGTGGTTAAGGAAATCATATGGTTGTTTTAACCAAATCCATCTTCCCTCATTGACTTTGCTTATCAGAAGCTCCTTGGAGGTCACAAATGGCAATGCCATGAGCCCCAAGATGCTGCAGCCATCGTAAATACATGCCAGTTGCCAAACACCCTAATACTGATTGTGTAACCTTAACCCATGTGATAGATGGAAGTGTTTAATGAATGGTCATAAGTCGAGGACTACCTGCATTATCCCTTTTATGATTCTCCGTGAGACTATTAGCACCATGCTATCAATTAATCCTCACAACCTATTATGATTCTATACTTCTTGTAACAATTGGATTTGACAGCGAATATACAAAATCCACTACTGTAAAAAATAAAATAAGGCCTAAGTTTAAAAATGTAACTTTTATTAATGCTCACAAGTGAGCTTAATTTGTATCATACATTGAAATAGCTCTGCTTAAGAAAAAGACAGAAAAAGTGCATTTACAAGAGTACTTTTTTCTTTAGTTCTCTGAAAATGGAAGGAATTGGAATCACAGGTTGACAAATTGGTAAAATGGAACTGTAGGCGACATTGAGCCTTAAGTAAATGACCCCTTTACATGTCTCCCACTTGAGACCTTCAGATACTGTGAATGTTTAATAATCTGACAATCTAGAGAATCTGTTATAACTCTACAGCATATTAACAAGGAAAAAGGCAGAACTCCCCTTTTCATTGTACAAAGATGAATTTTAAAAATTGATTAAAAATCACTATTTACAATTCTATGCAAACCGTCTTAAATACATGGTTTCTGGAGTTATTTACAAACTGTTTTCAGTCTGTGGGAACAATCCACAGCTAAAACAGTCATTTTACATCTCAACTTTGGCAGATAACTCACTTCAGCAACGCAACAAATGAAAAATTGTGACAAAGTATTGTAAGGGCAACCCAAGAAATTTGTTCCTCAGAAGCAACAGAAGTACGAGGGCTGCCAAAGTTTTCAAGAAAGGGTGCTGGGTTATAGTTGTACACTGTGAAAGATTGAACAGACAAAAAGACTCCATATACGAGTATGGCTGATACATAAAGCCATGTGTATATGAACTTTTAAAATGAAGTATTTTTTATTGAATGAGTGAGCCTAACTTAGAATTTTTCTCCCCAATTTTATTCTTTTTTAAAAAAATACATAAAAATACAACATCCAATGTCTGAATAAATATATTTAACAAGTCACAAGATACCTTATTTTACACAAAAAATTCCGCTTTAGAAATTTTGTTAAATAACTTCATTGTTATATATTTTATTTTTTGCCTTTTGTAACAAAATAAAAACTCTGAAATTACATAGAAAAAGACAAAATACTTTTGCCAAGGGATAAGATAGTCCACTGAAAACCTATTCACAATTCCACTGTAAACATTAAACATTAAAATATTTGCATAATCATGTGCTCGAAAAATCCTATAAAAAGTGGAAGACTCATTAAGACGGTAGTTTCCAGTCAACTACGCTTCCTTTCACAATTTATTTTGTCCAATTTAAAACTGGGCACAATGCTGAGTACCTACTTTGGCAGGTCTGTACAAAGCAACTGCATCTCCAAAAAATAAAAATAAAAGTGGGACTCTCGCTCAGAATTAAGATATAGCTCGGTGAAAAAAGTGCAGCAGTAATTATTTTCTAATTAACTTATTTTGATGCCATTTTTGGTGCACTTGCTCTTTTACTTAAAGAAAGCTGTTTTTTTACAATGCCCAATGCTTCATTGGATACCTGTGTTTTCAAATCAGATTAAGTGCCCTTTTTCTGTTTAAAGCAAAGTAAAAAAACAAAGCATAAGACAGAGGTGTCTTAAGTGCACCCATAAATCTTTAGTTGCCAATTAGAT